GTTATGGTCAGATATAAGATCAGTGACAACATCAGAGCTATGAGTTGTGTATGATAGATTAAAGTCAATATACTTGTCAAGAGCCACGTCCATAGATGTGTGTTGGTTCATTATTACCTATAATTTGAGCGTCTTCATCTGCGCTGAGAAGTGAGGTAAGTCTCCAACCATTGGTGTTAGTGGTTGGGTCACCTAATTTCTTGTGTCTGATATTCAGGTCACCAATTAGGACAGTGGGTTCAGTGTGTGTGTGTGTACAATGTCTTTGGAATATTCTGTCAGCAAATGTTGCATCACCACCAAGTGTGAGCTTAACCCATGCTGTAAAGTGTTTAGGGACATTCAAGACGCCGCGCGCAGCCAGTGAACAGCGTGTAACAGAGATAGGACAAGTTATAAGGAATATAACTTAAAAATCATGAAAAAAAAAATATGGAATGTGTATTATGTTAAGGTTTGTAATTTTGGCTAGTTATCCCTAGGAGAAACAAAAGATTTATGAGCTGTCTACGAAAGAAAATTCATTTTTTGACGAGTAACTCCTGTATAAGAAAGGAAAAATACAAGGCCGCTGGTTCGGTTTTGAATTTCAACCCATAGATGGCGCTTCTTACAGCACGAAGTAAACAACACGGCGCTTTGTATAGTTCCGGTGACTTGTACACAAACTTCTAATGAGACCAAGCTTAAATTATAATAATAATAAACAAAACATTGTCATAAGTAAACAATATTTGGTAACTGTACCCCCGTATCGTTAATGTATAGAGAAACATTACCACGCAAGTTACCACTATCAGGTTAGGGCATTATTGGAAATTACATATTGATGGTAGATTGTTTTTTTTTTTTTTTTTGCATATCAGACCTATCATTAAAATTTTATCACATTTCAGACCATTAATATTAACTGAGCAAAAGCTGATGACTGTCGTATCCGTAAGCTCGTAACTTGGTAACTACCAATTATGAAGGGTTAACCTAACAATGATCAGATTAATATTGTATACCTCGAGTCTTTCACATCTTGAGGTGTTATGATGTCTCATTATCCTAGTGTATTTTGTGGTGTTTTGGGCGAATCTGTCCTTCATTTCCGTAGGTTACAAAAAGTGGACAGAGCTTTGAAGTCGAGGGATATTGTGGGGTAAAAACACGCCCAAAAAAAGGACAAAACGAAACCTAACGAAACTTCCTAATCAGAGAAACCAGAAGGACCCAACCTAACATCCTAGCCCCCCATGGACCCCCTTTGTGTACAGAACTTACCTTAACAGATGCTAGAGGTTAAAGCCATGGTACTTGTAGGCTTAAAGGAGAAACGGTGGGTCGGTGTACTCTGCCTGGAACATCTTGAGAGAGAAATATTGTTGATATTGCTCCTTCTCATTGCAGGAACGAAACACACAACTCTTCATATCCTTCCACAATTGTTCTATATTTTGCGTCTGTAGCACTTATAGCACTTCACGATGAATGGTTTGCCAAGCTGATACAAAACACCTGTGTCGAGAGAAGCCGTCGTGCGACTAGCCAGTTCGAAAATCTGAACATGCGCAGACAAGGAATGTACTCTACCTTCCTCGTGCGCAGACGAACCACATGGCACCGAAAGCGACGCTGATTGGTTACACATAGTCACGTGACACCGAGAGAAACGCTGATTGGCGGGTGAGTCAGCTGGAAAGTATAAAAATATAAATTTGCAACGGAAAATTATTTATTTTTATTTTTTTACCCGAGAAGAGTGGGAGCGGTTTAGGAGGAACCAACCCACCATCTATAACCATGTGATATGTATTGTTGTATGTTATACAGTATATTGTTATATTGTAAATAATGTATTATTTGTGTCAATGTTTACATCCTTGTAGTAATGAACAACCTGACAACTCTGTGGGGTTAGTTGTCAGCTGCAGGCCTACAATAGCTGTGAGCCTGGTACCAACTCCTGACGTGCTGTTGTGCTGACTGACTCTGCTCTGCCCTGTGTACACGTGTCCTGTGTCTCTGAGGGTTTTGTGTTGTGGTCACCTCACAACTAAGTGTACTTTGTGTATATGGATTATAATTATAATGTATATTGTGATAGGTAACACTTATTCCACGTGTTTATTGTAGTGTTAGAGGTTCTTGTCTTTTTGTCTCTGGTGTCGTTTCACAGTTATAGTTGATGTGCTTCATTTTCACCTTTCTGTGTATATAGTGTAAATATGTTTAATACTTAATATATTATAGCAGTTTGTAGTTTATTATGAATATTCCCGTTCCCCGTTTATCTTCCCTTGTGTTGTGGAACATTATTATAACCCCTAGACAAGTATGTCCCATAACACTGTCAAGCATGTACACTTATGACAATATGAGAAGAAAAAAATAACAATCATCATTCCTGTTATGAAATTTCATGCTTTGTTCAATCCCCCCCCCCCCTCTCTGATTAGGAGCTTGCATCACATACCACCCTCCCACACCTCACAAAAGACCCTCCCTCCGAGACGACCATTCCCCGTCTCTATCCCCTTAACGTACTGAGAGGACCCCAGCCAGGCGCAGGGGTTAGGTGGTGAAGTGGATGATTACTTTTGGTCCCGACTGTACATTTGACTGAGTGGTGTTGTTTGTGGTGCTTTTAAACCTCTACCTAATTGGCCCTCACCCTTGTATAGTATAAATTAGGCAGTTGAGGATATTCTTTCTCTTCCTTGGTTACTGATGTATATCTGTTAATCCATTGGCGCTCTTTGGTTTATCTAGGAGGCAATATAGAATTATAGCATTACCAGTGAGAGGGCACTATATTTTCAAAACCTAAATGAGAGAAGGATCATCTAAGTATGCATAAGATCTTCTCAACCTACACATTGGTCCAATAACTTCACCTCCTTAACAACATAAACACTAAGATGTACAGTACAATATCTAGTTTGAGGAACGTCTTCGTCCTGTTGAGGTATACTATGCTCTTCACAACGTTGATTTACAGTGTGGTAGTGTGGAGGCAGTGTGATAGTGTGGAGGCAGCTGTGGCAGTGTGGAGGCAGCTGTGGCAGTGTGGTAGTGTGGACACATCAGAAATTATCGGATGTTTATATCCTTTGCTCAAGTGATATCTGTTACTTGTGTTACGTCATACAACTTGTTGGCTGGAGTTACAGATCCAGATGATTGAAATGATTTAGAAATTATTACTATTTTGAGTGTATGTTCGATGATAGGTGAAGACAGGCGCTGTGTGTGGTGGTGGGCACGAGCACTGGGCGAGATTTCCACAGTTCCACCACATCAAGTGTTTGAGTGAAGTTGGTGGCGTTGTGTGAGGCAAGGAGGGAGCATCCTGTGTGTGTGTGTGTGTGTGTGTGTGTGTGTGTGTGTGTGTGTGTGTTTCAAAAGTAATGTCTAATGCACGGGTCTTTGGGAATCCCAAGTTGAGAAGTATTTAGTACTTTTCTAATACACGATGGAATCAATCACAGGACGACAATTAACATCCTAATCTACTAATCACTTTTGCCAATTACCAAGAGTCGTAAGTTTACATTTTCCCTTGAAGTGACAGTGTGAGGAAGCATCGCAATGACTATTTTATCTGAAACACTCTAATAGAGTATCTTCTTCTGTTGATAGAGCCACTTCTATGGCTCTCTATTACTCCGAAGAAAAAATTTTCTTAGGAGGGGCGATTGTCATGGGTTGCGTTGGGTCTACCCACGCAACCCAATTCCAATGTTTGTTTTACGGGAGATAACACACCAGGCGAGCCGTGACCGTCATTTCTATTTCATAAGTGGGTATGTGAGCCAGTTTATGGGGGGTGATTGAGACAGTGCTGTACTGTCCAACGTGTCTCACGCCCCAAAACCACATTTAAGCCAGTAGGGCCTAGACCATGTACAAGTTAAGACGTCCTCATCCTCCCCTTCCTGAAGGGAAAGGGACGCAACACAGAGTCCTTTACCGCGACACCGTCCTGTGGACTGTCAGTAAAAAGACTGTGTGGGTGTCAACCCAAGTCACCTCACTAGTTCTCTTGTGTGACACCGTCTACAGTGACTGTCAGCGACACGAGACTATGCTTGCTAACTCAAGGTTTTGTTATTCCCCGTGGAAAGATCACGTGTGAAAGCCTGGTTGCAACACGAGCGACCCAGGCTGGCAGCGAATGTATCACTTGAGGAATTAAAGCTCTGTTAAGTCATACCCATAGTAGAGTAGTCAATTGTGCGGCCTCAGGTTAGAAATTCCTTCTTTACAAGATTAATTTTATTATGGCGTGAATGTGAGTGACTCATATATCCATGCAAATTGTAAATCATTGTATGGAAGCTTGACAAATAAATGTAAGTGCAATTGTTTGCCCGTATTTGTGATCCTATCTCATTATTACTAAAGGTAATGACTGATTGGATGACAACGTATAACCAATAACTTAGATGGATGTTGGAAATTAATGGAATTCATAAAATCATTATTTATCAAGTATAAATCACAAGGAATGTCGGGTGGTGGAGTGAATTTCTACGTCGATACGCCATAATCTCCTGTAAGTAACCAGTGTGAAGGTACAGTATCTAACTCTACGGTAAGAAATTAAAAAACACATAGTATTAAATCCATCCCCCATATATTTTGAGACATTTTATTTATTTTTGTTATATTGACTAGGTACAGTACGGCGGCGGAATGCTTACCGTACTGATCTTAGCGCTCTAATTATCCCGGATTTAAATAAGTGTTGAGGATTACGTAAAAGGCGTCCATTCTTGCGTTGATGGTGACACATCCGGTGATCCTTTACTGTACGTTGTGTGAGGAGCTTGTGCTATCCGTACACTCATGATCCGCCACACTGGACTAAAATATTTTTTACTTGTTGAATTTTATTATTGAGCCGCCCGTCCCTGCAGCTCTCCGCCCGTCCCGTCAGCTTTGGTAATGTAAGTTTATGATTTCTTTGTTGATTTTTATCAGACAGGAAACCCGGCTTTATAACCAGAGGGATGATGTAGTGAGTACCCAGTGGTGTGCTCGCGTTCAGACCGAGGTGACATGTTACGCTTCTATTTCTTTTTCTTTTTTTAATTAATACTCGATAACGTTTACTGTGATCCAGACACAGGGGAAGAAAGCTAACTTAGGTCGCTGTGTGGAGGTAAGTGTTGTTATGGTACTGTGTGGTGAGGTGTAGTGTGGTGTGGTGAGGTGTAGAATGGTGTGGTGTAGTGTAGTGGTGTGGTGTGGTGCTGTGTAGCGAGGTGTAGTATGGTGTGGTGAGATGTAGTATGGTGTGATGTAGTGTAGTGGTGTGGTGCTGTGTGGTGAGGTGTAGTATGGTGTGGTGTGGTGAGGTGAGGTGTAGTATGGTGTGGTGTGGTGAAGTGTAGTATGGTGTGGTGTGGTGAGGTGAGGTGTATTATGGTGTGGTGTGGTGAGGTGTAGTATGGTGTGGTGTAGTGTGGTGTAGTATAGTGTTGAGGTGTAGTGTGATGTAGTGTGTGGCATTTGGACAAGCGGCAGAGCCGGAAAATGTTGTCGCTGCCGCTCCAGCGCTAGATGTATATAAGATAACTTATAGAAAACGTACAAATTAAAGCCCTCATAATTATCTTAGGCTGACCTATGAACACTGAAGTACTTAATATGAGGAAAGAACTACGTATACCCAGTGTCAAAGATAGAATAATTGAAGTTAACCTCATGATAGCCCTGAGGCTTTTGTGTGGTGATCCTGATAACATTGTGCCGTGAAACTGCTAGAATATTCGAGTCATGAAATTGGTGAATCTAAATGGATCCAAACTACAGATACACATTTGAGGATGTTTGAACGAGACCATCAGTCTGTACAAAGCTGAGACACAGCAGCGCTTCCTGCCACCCTGGCGGACAGTTCCCTTCGACATCACAACACCCTCGTACCCGCCTAAGCGACTGACCACACATAATCCTAATTTCTATCAAAAGTGGTGATAGTTTACAACAATACTATTACTACTCTCGAGCACACACAACTACCCACGGTATTGTTAATGGCTGTTAGCGACATCTCATTTGACTTGACGATACTGTTATTGATGGTGGTGGAGCCTGTATCACGCTGACAGCTTTGGAGGAAGAAGGGACCGCTTCTGTGGGGAGGGAGGGAGAGGAAGAGACACGTTACTGACGGGTAAACTAGTTACAACCCGATGCACACACACACACACACACACACACACACACACACACACACACACATATATATTTCTTTATTTTTAGCGTAAGTAAAGGCGGCGTCACTAGCACTTTTTCCGTTAGCTTTACCGGTTTCTGTCGTATTTTCCACAAATTATCAAATTTTTTAGCCCGTCTCATTCAAATGAAACGTATTATTTCCGCATAACTGGTTTGTGCCAATTTCTGTGGTCAAGATAATGAGGACAGGATATTTTATAAAATATCGAACCACATTAAGTAACTAAATTTAATCTTAAAAGTATTCAATATCATATTTTTAATAAATTGCTTAAGTGTAAGTTTTTTTTATTGGTGTTGATATTCGTAAATATATCTTACATGTTCTTTTTACATTGAATCATGAGTTCAACTTCACGGCCTCTCTATCAGTTCGTGTGTGGACTCGCCTGTCTGAAGACTTCATGATAACCAATATTAGATCTCATTGTTTCCTGTGAGACCCAAGGGACGATAGATAAAGTAAAAAAAAAAGAAAATATGAAAAGGAAGGCAAGCAACGCCATTTTCTTTGTTTGCAATTGACGAACGTGGAAAGATTGTGTGCTAGTTTATCTACTGTATGCGCATGTGACAGGACGTTCTTAAGTGAGCCAGTTACGTATGTTCTTAAGTGAACCAGTTACGTACGTTCTTAAGTGAACCAGTTACGTATGTTCTTAAGTGAACCAGTTACGTACGTTCTTAAGTGATCCAATTACATACGTTCTTCAGTGAGCCAGTTATAAACGTTCATAATCTTGATATAGTTTAAGCGAACTATAGTTACGTACGTTGTGAGACTTGAAGCGGTGCCTCCGGAAACAACCACGCCTGGGCGATGTTACGAACGTGGGATTTCCACTATGAAATATTTTAACTTACAGTAAATTTTCTCTTGATCGTGTTGAAATGGTATGAGCGATCAAGACGATTTTGATGTTTTGGATGTCTTGGTCTAGACTGACACACGAACATCTTACACACCAAAGACTCAACAACTTTGGTGATTTTCAGTTGGACATAGGTAAGAAAGCTTATTGGTGTTGTGGCCGAGACAATCTAAAACTGAAAGACCGGAAATGAGACTTGCGGTTATCAGTCCACACACACGTAAACACACACACATACACACGCGTACACGTCATGCATACATACATACATTCACACGAAGACGACAGGTGGATTGATCCGAGGTCGTGGGATTACAGAACTCCAGCGAACAGAAGGCTGCTTGCTTCCCATGCTGTTACGTCAATAGTTCCGCGCAGATACTCACAGGTACAGATTACGGGACCAGTGAGCAGCACAAAAATGTCACACAAGCCAGACAGACAGTGTATGATAAGGATATGAGGAGCTTACTAGCTTATCTTCAAAATAAAAATCCCTTCACTTAGGATTCATCTCAACGAAACATTGTCATTGAATGTGAAGGCTGACAAAGGGAAGAAGGTAAGATGCCAGATCCTTAGATCAATGGTGGGAACAACATGTTTTGCACATACTCGTACATTCAAGAAAAAAAATGGGATACTCACAATGGACAGCAAATTATTTGCGAAGGTTGATGAGCAATCCATCCAAGTGGACCCACAGCTGCTCTTTCAGCGTCTACTAACAACTGCAGGCGAAATCGATTAATCTACTGCAGATATCTTCAGGTTTGAGCTCACCAACAACTCATCTGCCTTGTTTGAGCCACTAGTCAGCAGTGGATAGGCGAGGAAAACACTTTGAACCCGGAAGAATGGGTTTGGATGAAAGTTCATGATCGCCTTCAACTGCAAACAAATGATTTATCTGCAGCTTCAGAAGCTCTACTGAGAGTGGTTAATTGCAACTGTAAGACCGACTGTAACACACGGAGGTGTGCCTGCAAGAAACTTGGTCTTCATTGTACAGTTGTGGAAATGTATTCCTACACTCCCTTGGTAACCCGTGTCACCAAACGGCCAACTTATTTGACCTATAGCAAACCTATCCACCAATCACGTCCGTCGTTACAAGAGCAATACCCATTCATTCCTAAAAAGTGACACTACTACTGCAGCGACGGTGCTGTTTGGAGACATGGGTTACCACAGGGGGAGTAGGAACACATTTCCACAACTGTACCAGAGCATGTGGCGAGTGAAGAGGCTTAAGCTGTACAAATTCACCTTTGCTTTCCATGGACAACATTGCTGATGACCTGCTCAGTGCATATATCCCTCCTCCTAGTCACAGGCCTGGCATTTGACATTATTAGGGACCTGCCACACTTTGCCATAAACAGATAAAATGTACCGGGAACTTTCCCCCCACACACTCATCATTCTCTCACTTTATGTAACTTGACAAAACCTATGACCCTTCAGGTTTTTACGCCCTTAATGTACGAGTCATAAAGGCAAGTATGAACTTTTCATACTTCCCTGTTGGGAGCTGTAAACGCTTCTGCACTTCACCTTGCACAGGATGTAAGGGGGTGCCCAATAAACTAGCCCCCTCGGGGGCAAATCTGAAATCTGCTCAGTGCATAATCACACCGGCCAAAAAAAAAAGGAAAAACATTATTAAGGAATTATTTCAAGTTTCTCAGTGATCACTTTTAACATTGTGTCATGCGCCTGAATAGTTACCAAAATGTTAATTTTGTAATTTGGATTATATATTGTAGTTAAAGTATATGTTTAGTTATATAGTTTTGTGATTTAAACTAGCTAATGAATGTGCAAATGTGTATTGAGCAAAACTGGATCGTGGCCGTAAAACAAGTAAAAATAAGATAAATAAATAAATAAATAAATGTTCCCCTACCTACGTTTTCGATAAATTGTTCTGAAAGAACAATTGGGTTAAAGGTTAACAAATAAATGAGGTAATTTTTTGCACGTCGAAGCACAGATTGACCTACTAGTAATGACCAAAATTTCTCCTCCTCCAGCGACGACTTGATGCTTCTGCTCCGAGCACTCACCACCCTGGGTGAGTACCTGAGTGTTGTGACTCACAACTGTCTCACTCAACATTGGAGGTGTGGGTCAACAGTAGGACTGTACAATATATATATATATATATATATATATATATATATATATATATATATATATATATATATATATATATATATTTATTTATTTATTTATTTATTTATTTATTTATTTTTTTTTTTTTTTGTGTTATAAAGGGCCAGGCCAAATTCCTGGCACAGGTCACTGACCAACATCAGGGCTCTTGGGGCTAAAAATATAGTAATAGTAAAAATAATAACAATAACAACAACAATAATAATAATTATAATAAAAAATGAAAAATAAATAAGTTCAAGTAGTAATAATAATAATAATAATAATAATAATAATAATAATAATAATAATAATAATAATAATAATAATAAATAAATATATAAATGAAAAATAATGAGTGAGAAACAATATATGTTTGTTGTGTTGCCAAAGTAAGAGAAACAATTGAGACCCTGCAATTGTGTGTAAATGGGGCATAAAGTCAGATCATCAACCTGAGACTTGGTCACATATAGCAGCAGGGTCTACCATTAGACAACACATTATGCTTCCAATATCTTCCCAGGCGGTAGCACCTCCCTGTTTAATAGCTGCCTACTACCTTCTAACAACCGTCTTCCTCAACAGTGGTGGTGGGTGTAGTGTGGGCCAGCACATGCCAGACCTTTGGCCAGGTCAAATCATGGACACAGAATAGCAGAGAATACAGGTTAGTGTATGAAGCTGTGGTCTGTGTCTAATGGTTTCTTGCACAGTGTGGGAGACTTAATCTTCCTCACGCTACTCTTTATCCCCTTGCGTACGACGCCAACCCTGAGTACAATAAAGTAATCCTGTGAGTAGAATAACCGATTGAGTACCATGACTTATTTCCTTGACCATGATGCTTAAGCCCTTTGAGGACCATGAACTGTTAACATCAATACGATGGTAATTGTACTCTGGTGGTTATCCTTCTACACATGGCTTTCAAGTTTCGTTTTATTGTGTATTAGTATTTTTTGGGTGAGCATTAAAGTTTTAATTGGATAATTTAATTTGTGGCGTTAATCTGAACTCTGTTAATCCCTGACACACTGTGACCCGGAACATGGTGGACACTGCCTCCTAACACACACTGTGACCCGGAACATGGTGGACACTGCCTCCTAACACACATTGTGACCCGGAACATGGTGGACACTGCCTCCTAACACATACTGTGACCCGGAACATAACGTGTATGTTAAGATACACAAATAATACAAGGGTTTGGCTGTTAACTTGTGTCGTCATAACATTACAGGTGTGGCCAGAACTGTATGGCCAGTAGCTCCCGTGTGTCTGGCACTGAATACTACGATCAGGTAAGACTCTTCTCTTAGTTCACTAGTACTCAACCAATCAGAGGCTGTTGAGGTTAATGGCATCATAGTTCACTAATATTCAACAAATCAGAGGGTGTTGAAGTAAATGACGTCATAGTCCACTGATACCCAACCAATTAGATGTTGTTGAAGTAAATGACGTCATAGTTCACTACCATTCAACCAATCAGATGTTGTGGAAGTATATGACGTCATAGTTCGAGAGTCTTCAACCAATCAGAGGTTTTTGTCTGGAGATTAAGTTATCTAAATCACGACCTTATTGCTTCCTAAAGGTCCCCCCCCATCTCCTACCCTCCAGCTCTCTTTTATACACCCTCTTTACTCGTCTTCTCAACCTCACCTGCTCTGTTCTCTGGCCAATTCTTTCCTTATTTCTATGTCTTAATTTCTTCCTTGTGCTTACGTCATTTCTATTGGTCTATTCTGTTC